GATGGCTGGGTGGGTGTGGAGGTACATGCATGGGTGGTGAATGGTGGATTCCCGCTCATCCACCACAGGAAGGTGTGTGACTTAAAGACCTCCAAGGTGCTTCAGGCCTCAGCCTTCCCCTCCTCTGGCCCAGAAGCCTCCTCCCTCCCTCCCAGCCCTCCAGCTTTACCAGAGTCTGCAGATCCTGAGACTGGCGCAGGAGCTCTTCGGCCACAGCCATTCTTTCCGTCAGAGTCATCGTGAGCTGCCGTGCCTTGGCGCTGGAACATTTAAATTGGTCCACAAGAAAGTGCTGGATGTTTTCCATCTGTTTCCAGAAGGCTTCCATCTGTGAAACGAACATGAGAGGCAAGAGTCAGGGGAGAAGACTTATTTAAGAAAGCTATGTGGCTTGTGCTCGGGAATCACAATTCCTTCCTGATGGCAAACAGAGCCTCTGAAGCATCCCACAGCCCTGAAGCATCCACAGTTTATTTTGGCAACAACTGCATTCTACAGAGAGGGCACTCCCTGGCCACCAGGTTTGGAGTTTAGGTTTAGAGATGGCTTTTCAGCAAGCAGCAGTGCCCCGCTGCTCCGGAAGGAAAACTAGGAACTCACCCCGGCTTGAGGACCCTTATGTAGGCCTTGACTACCGCCTGGGCACATGGACTGTGACTGTGCTGGAAACTTCAGGGTCTCTGAAAGGGACTGAGCCAGGCCTAGAAATCAAGGCACCAATGGCCACTGAATAGTAGTTGTTGTCCTGAGCGTGCAAAGGAGTACGGCAGAGATGACGCTGTGAAAACACCTGGCTTTTAAAATCGTTTCCTTTCTTCCATTTTTTTCTGGAGCTTACACCCCTGGGTGCTTTAATTTGTGGCACTGCAGCCCCTGGGCACTGTGTTTTACAAAAATACAGGAAAGTTAACAACTGTTGACGAGGCTCGGGAGTGGGCCAGGCTGTGCCCAGATAAAATGGTGTGGGGAGATCATGGAGGAGGCTCACGGGCCATAGGGCTGGGGCCAGCAAGAGGCAGGAGGTTCTGGCTTAGATCTGTTATGAGCCCCAAACGCTCAGAGCTGGGGCTTTCTGCAGGGTGGATCACGGGGGTGCTGTACTCACTGGGGGATGGAGCCACCGCTGAGTTCCGGGGCTGAGTGTGCTGTGGGAGGTGGGGCCTGGTGGGAAGAGGCTGTTACTGGGGCTTGGCCCAGGCGGATTTATCTCTCTCTCAGTGCTTCCCTTCTCTCAGCTTCCTGTCCCCCATGGTGTGAGCAGCTCTGCTCCACCAGGCCCCTGTGCCAGGACTCTTGCCGAGGAGCCAGCTGACCAGGGACTGTAACTCTGAGCCAAAATTAGCCTCTTCTATAAATTGTGGTGCTGAGTATTAAGTCTTCTCAGTGACAGGAAGGTGACAAAGACACAGGATTTGCCTCAGGTCCATGGCTCAGATTTTCTTCACTTTTGCTTGGATTCTCGGATACCAAATACTGACCGTTCTTGCTAGAAGGGCAAGGGAGGGGGCAGGAGTTAGTGGCACTAGAAAGTCGCGCTGACCTTGTTTCTGTGGCCAAAGGTCACGACACATCGGCCCAGAGTGCTGAATCCCTCCAGCCCTGTCAGGACAGAGTGGAGCCTTGGGAATGGGCAGTGCCTACCTTGAGGGCCTCACTGCAGCCCAACACCTGACTCTGCTGCCGCCCAGCCCTTCCTTCTGTCCCCTCAAGAGAGACTTTAGCACCTCAGCACCCTCATGCTCTCTCTCCAATAGCTTGTGCAAGAGAATGCCAGCCCCTGCATACCCAGACCCACAGTTCCATGTCCCACGACCTCTGTCTCCTCCTTACAGCCACAGGGGCCAGGCTGCCCACCCCATCTCAAGTGCTCCATTCCCTGCACATAATGGCTGGGGCTTTCTCTTTCTCTGCCAAGCCCCAGGCAGTTCCTTCTCTGCTTCTCTGCCTTGATCCTCCTCAGCTCCTCCTCTGACCTCCTGGCAGGATCTGAGATTTGGGGCTATGCTCAGGCCAGAGCCAGTCCTGGGAGGCCACTGGCACTTGCAGGTCTTGTGAAATGTGAGCCCTCGCCCTGCTGTTCCACAGTTCTGGGAGTCACAGGAAGCCAGGCTAAGTGCTGCCCCTCAGCCATCTCTTCCTGGCTCCCCAGTCCAGGGACTCCCCGTGCCCCACATCCTGTCCCCCAGGCCTCAGTGGGGACCCTCTTCCGCCAGACCGCTCCCCTTAAGGCATGAAAGCCAGACCTCCCATCAGCCTCCCAGCTTGTTGCTCATCCTGACCCTTTATTGGCAGTGCTGACCCTCTCTCTCCTCTTCCTGCCACCCACTGTCCCATGCATAGCACCATGTCAGCTCTTGAGCTTTTCCTTCCTCTTCCTCCCTGCTGTAGTTGCCTTCTGGAAGTTCCTGCTCAAACTGGGTTTGTCCAGCAGCACTTAATGGTCCTCTGTGCAGAGCCCAGGAGTCCCTCTAACATGGAAGCTGGGCCGAGCCACCCCTGCCTTAAACCTGTGATGCCCACCTTCTTTCGGGTGTGAGATGAGAAGCTTGACTGGATCTCTCTGGCTTTCTCTTGAGCTTGCTGCCTCCCTGGCTCCCATCTGCTACCTACTGGCCAGCATCGGCCCTCCCCACCTGGCCTGTCGGGGGTCCCTTCCTCAATGAGGGGAAGCAGTCCTCTCTCCACTGTGCCTTGTTCCTCTCCCACATGCCCGGGCACCACAATCCCAGGAGACCTCACCTACTCCGGAGCAGCAGAGGGCCTGGCCTGGCACCTCCAGGACAGAGCCACTAAACAATGAAGGTTGAACGCCCCTCGCCCAGCACAATGAATGGCCAAGAGTGTGCGCCAAGGCAGTGCCTGTTTAATACGCAGTCTGTGGCCGGGGTCTCAGAGAATCCATCCTCTCTGCAATTTAAAACATGCTTTTTATGATGCTTTAAGTTTGAAAGTGGGTGGCTCGTGACATTGAGGGTCGTAGCAAGCTTTGCTTTGCATGATAAAAAGATCAACCTAAAATTTAAATGAAGACCAAAACAACCCACTACTGTAAATCTTTGCTCCCTAATTACACTTTCTCTATGGCTTAGCTACAGAAGCCGGATCCCTGCCTCTGGGGGAGAACGCAACAGGGAATCTGCGCTCTCAACAGTCTCCTAAGTACCACCTCTTTAATCGTGCCAATGTCACTGGCCCAGAGAGAAAGGACATCGCCTACGTTGTCCACGAGCTGCTCCGAGTACCCCCTCTCCTTCTTCTCCACATCTGCCAGCGTGATGTACTCCGAGTCGCTGGTGCCCAGCACTTCCGTGTTTGACAGCTTGATCTGAAGTCCCTTCTCTAATTCCTCCAAATCCTGGGAGGAAGAAAGGAAATCAAATAAACAAAATCTGCCACATTTTAAATTCTAGAAAAACACACGCTTTCGTTTTTCCCACATTATCAGCAAATTTTTTGTAACAGTAACTAAATGCAATAGGAGCTGCCTTGCTTAAGGTTGGATTGGTTCAAATTTACTTTCCTCATTAAACACAGAAACTTAAGAATAAAGGATTATTTTGTGCTATACTCCTCTCTCAAAAAGACTAGGCCACACTTAAAAGATAATGAAATCACATCTTTCAATCATTACAAGTCCTAGAAAATGTCATGACTCCTATGGGGTTGGGAGGGAAAAGTTTCTTCCCTACACACCTGCCTTCCATATGGAAGGGTTATATGCTATACCTCAGGGGAGGAAGTGATGTGTACATGGTGGGTGGGTTTAAGAACAGGAAGTGAGCACAGTGGTTTAACTTCTGCTTCCTTTTTGGGATGCACCACTCAGGACAGCTCACTGTTTTGGTGTGGTCCAGCCCAGAGGGAGCAAGGTAGCAGAGGCCCTGCTTCCAACGGCAGAAGGCTGAGGGGGCTCAGTTTCACAGGTGCAAGGCAAGAAGCTGAAGCAATTCTGCAATTTAGTATGAGAAAGACCTCCATGATTACTGTGTCTTGAGCTACTCTCAATAATAAAGCTACATTTTTCTGTCTGTCTCCTCGACTCTGTCTCTCAATGAACTCTGAACTTGGGAAAAAATGTGGGAGTCCTCTGTCATCCTTCAAACCCAACATCCAGGGCAGGAGGCAGATCTCTCTGCTCCAGAACTGTTGTCACTGTCACATAACCTGTGCAGTCGCAGGCAGCTTCAGTAGGGACATGGATAAAAGCTGCTACTGAGCCTACACTGAGGGCATATGTGGTTCTAATCCTCACAACAGCTCTGCAAGAGGTAAGGGATGGCTTTTTCCTGATGGGACCAAGATAAATGGCAAGTTCAGATATTGTGTCCTAAGACTCTCGGGCAGAAAGAGCAGTACTAGGCTTGTCCTACTCTTTAAAATTCTGCATCATACTACTTCCCTTTTTACGAGCAGCTGACATTTCTCACCGTTTCTTGTCCTTTTCCAGAAGTTCCAAGAATGTTGAGGGCATTAAATGGAATTATGCACTTAAAGCACTTGGCTAGACTGCCTAGAAAACAGTAGCCACAATTACTATCAAGTCACCTGGCAGGTATGGTCATGCAAACCTGTGATCACAGCTACTCAGGAGGCAGAAGTAGGAGGATCGCAAAGTTGAGCTCAGCCTGGGCAATTTAGTGAGAGCCTGAGATCCTGCTGCAAAATTTTTAAAGAAGAGGGGGTGGGGCGGGGCTGGAGATGTAGATTAGAAGTAGAGCCCGGCATTAAATATCTCTGCAAAGTCAAAGAGCACTGTAAGAGGTGGCAGGGGTGGGACTGGGATTTGATCCGAGGTCTGCAGACTCCATATCTATTCCTGGCACTGTAATATGCACCTTATTTCATTGTCACTATTGTTACTGCAAATACCATCAACATCATCATTGTTTTTATCCTTGGAAAATCACTTTAACCCATCGAGCATCAGTTTCTTTAGCTGTTAAATGAAAATCATAATGGCCGTTCACAGGGCTGGCATGAAATTAAATCATGTACACGGGCACTGTGTGCATTGCCTGCGGGTCCTGACAGAGGTGCCGGCGACGGAGAGGGTGGTGTGCGCCATCTCCCCCTGGGGTGGAGGGAGTGATCCTTCCCACGGGATCCGGGATCTTGGTGAAGAAACCTCTGCCAACCTCCAGCGTCGTGGTGGTGGGGGTGAGGAGGAGGACGACGATGGTGAAGGCGGTAGCAGCAGTAACAGGATGACGGAGATGGAGGTGGTGAGGGTAGCAGTGACCACGATGATGAGGAGTGAAAACGATGGCAGTGGTGGGGCTGATGAAGAAGATTATGATCGCTGTGATGCTTTAGATCTAAAATGTGCCCGAAAGTCTCATGTGATCAGAGATGATCACCTCGACGGGAGGTGACAGACCATGGGGTGCTATAGTCCTTAGAGGTTAGTCCACCCACGAGTTCACAGCCGAAGGTGCTGTTAGGACCTGGGGCCTGGCTGGAGGTGGATCCTGCGGTGTGGCCCGGAGGGACGTGTTCTTGTCCCAGCTTCTTCCTTTGTTCTCTCTGCTTCCTGCCTTCTGTTGAGCATCTTTCCTCTGCCAGGCCCTTCTGCCGTGCTGCTTTTGCTTTGGAGCCAGCTGTGGATTAAACCCTCCGAAACCGCGAGCCGAGTAACCCTTCCCTTTAAATTGTAGGTGTTGGATGTTCTGCCCCAGCGATGGGAAAGTTACTGATCCAGTGATGACGGTGACGAGAAGAGTGATAACTACACAGGGATGGTGAAGACGGTGGCCGCGGTGACGATGGTGGTAACACAGTGAAGGTGATGAAGATCATGATGATGATGATTCTGGTGGCGGGACTATGGTGGTGGCCGTGGCGATAAGGACATTAGCAGCTATCACAGATCATAATCTAACATTAGGATCCCAGAGCTTGTAAAAGACATGCATACCCGTGTTCATGCCAACAGCTTATTTTTGGGAGCAGCCTGTATGTATGCAGAAAATGTGCTATACACACACACACACACACACACAATAGAGTTCTGTCCAGTCATAAGAACGATAAACGTCAGTCATTTGTTGAAAAATGAATGGCTCTTAAGGCCATAATGCTAAGTGAAATAAATCAGACACAGAAGGTTAAATATTCCTTGGCTTCTCTCAAGTGAGAAACCCAACGTATAAGAAATATAAAAGAGCAAAATGAAAGAGAAATGATAGGAAACAGGAGGTAGACTTTGTGGAGGTGGGAAGGGGATCTGGATACTGGGGATCAGGGGCAGCCAGGAGCACAGGTGGGGATAAAATGATTCAGGTATAATCTGTAGATGTCCAAGCTCCCCAGGATGAGTAGAAGGATCGGGTATTGCAAACATGAAATAAAAAAAGATAGAGCCAGCATTCCAGCTGCACCAGGGCTGCCTCCAAGCTCTGGGCTGTGTATGAAACTGGGTCTTTTCTAGGAAAGACCACAAAGAGGAGAACACAAAGGAGTAGCAGCAGTTATAATCCATGAATGTATTTTATCCTTAAAATTGCCCCAAACTTGTGTAGAAATAACACAGAGACTGTCGATCAGCAACGCCTATGACAAACATTTTGTCTCTTTTGTCTACTTTGAATATTTACACATTTTAAACATTACACATTCTTCTTTATATGTTTGTATACATGCTTTTATATATCATTAGATCATGTTGCAAACCCTCACTGTAATAAACTATTCCTATACACGAAAGCAAAAATACTTGTGTATTGTAGTATCACATGTACTATGTGTAAGTGTTGTATGGGCAACTTTGCAATGCCGAGTAATGACTTACATGTTCTTGTTCTGAAAGGATCTTTTGGTGCAATTCATCATCTGACTTCTTCTTCGGAAGAAGGTCCAGGAGGCACATTTTAAAAATCTGAATAAACATCTACCATTAAGAAGGGAAAGTTAGGATGAGAAAGGTTTAAACAACAGTGACTTCCTTCCTATTTCTCACTCCTCCTCCCTCCTCTGTCTCTTCCCTCATATACAAGTTGTGACTGAAAAATATGGAAAATGTTTCAAGTTTTAAATAAATTATTACAGTAAAAGACACTGCCATGAATCCTCTTCAAAATCCTCCCCCTTACTTCAAACACACTCATCCCGGCAGCAGCAGCTCTGGAGTCCTGTTCTGCGAGTGTCTTCAGTTGCGCTGTCCTGACTGCCTTCATGTCTTGAGTGGATTCAAAACATTTCCCTTTCATTTGACTTTGGGGAGGAGCCAGGAGTTGCTCAGTGCCAGATCTAGTGAACAAGATGGACGAGGACTCAGCGTCGAGTTTTTCCAAGCCTGTCTTTCTCAGCACTGGCCAGCAGCATTCACCGTAGTTTTGATCACACCTCATAAAGACACTCACAAAAGAAGTCTTCCAGAACTGCTTCCGAAAAATGGCAGCAACAGTGGGATAAGTGTGTTTGAAGGAGGAGGATTTTGAGGGGGATTCATGGCAATGTGTCATTTACTGTAATATATTTTTTATACTTATTTTATTTTGAGACAGGGTCTCACTATGTAGTTGAGACTGATCTGGAACTCACTGTGTAGCCCAGGCTGGTCTCGAACTCACAGTAGTCCTCCTGCCTCAGCCTCCCGAGTGCTGCGATTACAGGTGGGCGCCGCCACGCCTGGCATATACTTATTTTATTCGCCTTTGTAGTTTGAAGCAGGGAAGACCTTTGATTACACATCAGCATAACAGCCTACATGGGTTGCATTTTAATGATGGTGGTAAAGAATCTTTTACTTTTCCTCATACATTTATTCATCAAGTATTCACCAGCTGTCCACTGTGTGCAAGGCCACTGGTTCCCAATTCTGTCGATGGAGACCAAGAACGGCCCTCCCAGAGGTGGGGGGGTCGGAAAAGCCTAAGGGGTGTTGTCAACTCCAGCCCTGTGCTGCAGGACCTGACGTCACTGCACCCAGCAGGAATGGCAGGCCACACACCTGCCCAGGTGCGGCGTGACGGTGGGCATCTCTGTGACAGCAGGCTGCCCCCGAGGCCCCCCAGGACCTCTGCTGGCCAGCTGTTCTGGGTTCTGAGGACAGAAGTCCCCGGTCCTCCCGGGGAGCAGGGAGCCTTTGAGAATAGCCAGGGTCCCCACCCCCACGGAGACCAGCTGTGGCCCACGGAAACAGCACGTGACACTCGCCGGGGGACCTCTGCAGGCCTGACATGGAGGGTTCAGCTCTGTTCCTTGAATTCTGGCATTACTGTGGGTTCACACACAGGCACCTGCCCGCAGGCCAGGCCTGCTGCTACCTGGAGTTTGCTTCCTCTTAGGTGTGCCCCTGCTGTTCTCTTCCCTCTGGTCTACGGCCCAGGGTGCTGTAGGGGAGCCTTGTGTTTCCATGTCCCTTTCCGCTTCCCAAAGGGCTGTCCCCTGTCCTGCCTCTGGAGGCCTCCACCCTCCTCCAGTCATTCAGAGAACCCATCCCAGGGAGGACACACTGCTCTTTGGAACTCCTGCAGTCAGTCCTGGTACGAAGGCTGCCGGGGCCTCTCCCTGGCTTCCTGTTGCTCAGACCCTGGCAGACTGGCTCAGACAGCGGGCGCACCGACACTGAATCCCGTTCTCCTGATGCTCATGTGCCATGTCGTGTCCTCAATTACTCACTCAGAGGACACTGGCTCTATCTGTGGTTTTCTGACTTTATGCAAGTCTTCCTCTCTGTGCCTCAGTCTTCTCCACTAACAATGGCGGCTCCCGCCTCTCTGGCTTGTGGTGAGGTCAATGTGGTGGCCTGTGGATACCTCCAGGGCCTGGCACACAGCAGGCACTCAATAAACGGGTGCCCGTCAATATGATTAGTATGGTTCTCACTCTTTTTCAAAAGCTTTGTTCTCTTTGGAACAGTTCTGGTCTCCAGCCAGAGGGCGGCAGTCACCGTTCTGTCAGCCCCAACTCTGGGTAAAGAAAGGCCGGGCCTGCTCTCCTTGCGCCACAGTCCAAGGCCTGATGCCGCAACCCTTCCCCAGACTGTTTCTCGTCACTCAAGTCTGTGTCCTGAGGGCCTCTGGGGCTCAGGGACACAGAGAGCCAGGCCTCCCTGTTCCTGACCCCAGGAGAGGGAGAGAGAGCCACGTTCCCCACCTACCAAGTGCTGCTCCTGCCTCAGCGCCGCATCCAAGCGCTGCAGGTCTTTGAGGTGAAGGTTATAGACACATAGCTCGATGTCTGCACTGAAGGAGCCAAAGAAGCAGGAGAGATGGTGTCATGGTTTAGGTCTGGAATGTGCCCCCAAGGTCTCCTGTGCTCAGAGGTGGGGCTTTTCGAAGGTGGCTGGGGTGTGGGGTGCTACGCTCCGTAGTGGATTCATCCATTGATGAGTTCATGGCTGACTGTGCTGTTAGGAGGTGCTGCGGCCTGGCTGGAGGAAGTGGGTCTATGCGAATGTGACCCAAAAGGCTATATTCATGTCTGGGCTCCTCCCTTGTCTCTCTCTACTTCCTGGATGCCATGATGTGAGCGGCTTTCGTCAGCCAAATTTTTCCATCATATGTTTCTGCCTTGGAGGCCCCCACACCACCATGGACTAAACCCTCTGAAACCAAGAGTCAAGTAAACTTCTCCTTTAAATTGTGGATGTTTGGTATTTTTGTCCCAGCAATGGGCAAGTGATGATGGTGGAGAGCAAGGGAGGAGATGGCGGTACTGGTGGCAGTGGTTGGAAGGATAAAGATGACACTATTGGTAGATGGGGTGAGGGAAAGGAGTATTCTTGTCCCTGGCTCCTCCTTCCTCTTTCTACATCCTGGCCACCATGACATGAGGCGCTTTCCTCCACTAGACTCCACCACCAAGCTGTCCTGCCTTGGAGCCAGCCAGGGACTGAATCCACTGGAAACTGAACTGAACAAACCTCTGTCTCTCTAAGTTTTGGGAGCTGGGTTTTCCGTCCCAGCCCTGGAAAATGAGTATGGAAGGTCAGTGTGTCAGTGGGAGGTGGGAGCTCAGTGCACCGCGGGGTGTCTCGGCCCTCACAGCCCCCGAGGGTGACAGGAAGGAGGCCAGAGAGCTGCTGCACATACCCTAATGACTAACAAGAATGGTGTCAGCGTCCACGTCCCTAAGACCTGTCCCCTCAGTGCCACTTCACAGATGAGGAAACTGACTCAGGGAACAGAGGACCCGGGATGTCAAGTGATGGCCACACAGTCGCCTTTTGGGACCTTTCGTCCCTGAGAGTCACACTCACTTTAAATGATGACACACCCACCCAGGGGTGACAAGCGTGAGCAGCCATGACACGCCAGCGCGGGCCTATTCACCCACCCGGAAGCTCTCCTTCACTACGGCTCCCTCCCTTAGGCCACTTTCGGGGTCGGCATGGAACTCAAAGCTGCGGACCCACCCCTTCTGCAGCCCTGAGCCGAGCTGGGCCTCGACCATCCAGCCCAGGCTCCTGGAATTTAAAGCAGAGCGGTCCAAGGACTGCTCCAGGCTGAAGATCGGTGTTTTGGAGCACCGATCTTTGGAGATGAGTTTTAACAAAACTCCCTCCCTCTCTGCTGTGTGTCTTTGGGGGAGTCACTCAGCCTCTCTGTGTCATGCTTCCATCGTGAAGTGGGGAGAACTGCTGGCATCTACCTCCCAGGGCTGTCCGAGGACACTCACTGGTTCCTATTTATGGACCACAGAACCCGGCCCAGGCTGCCCTGGGCAGAGCAGTGAGCAGCAGCGGGGCGGCCTGGGCCTCAGTTCACGCGGTCACTGCTCCTGCCAAGCTCTGCCTTCCAAGGTGCCCGTCACAGCTGGCTGCTGTTGCAGTGCCCAGAGCACACTCTCGATAAGCAAGGTCCCCTCGTCCCTGCCAGCCCAGCATCAGTCAACCCCGCGTGCACAGTGAGCGACCAGAGGGCCTGGGATCCCAGCTCTGACACTGGCCGCTGTGTGTCCCTGGCGGACTCGCTTAACCCCTCTGGGCCTCTGTGTCTGCCCTGAACTCTGAATCCTGTGCCGCCCCCCTCATTGCCCCAGTGCCTACCTCTCGCAGGCCAGCACCTCAGGGAAGCTGTTTGCCCTCAGGAAGGCGCGGCACAGCAGTCTGTCCTCACTGGCAGCAGAGCGGGCGCTGCAGGAGGAGCTGCAGTCTTCCTTCTCGGCTGGGCTCAGGCTGCCCAGGCTGCTGGATGGCGAGGGTCCCCCCGGCTGGTGTGGCAGGGCCGCTGGCTTCAGGGTCTCGTGCAGGGACGGGTTGGAGGAGCCGTCAGCCAGGGGCTGGAGGCGGAGCAGCCTGTTAGCCCAGGGACGCAGCTGCTCCGCGATGCATGGTGACAGCTGGTGGCAGGGCCTGGCTGCAGCAGGCTGCTCAAGGCCCAGGATCACAGCCACAGCCAGGCTCCAGACTTGCGTCCCAGCTCTTGTCCTATGAGGCCAGCCCCAGGCTTCTACCTCAAAACATCGCCTGCTCTGTCCCCGACATCCCCTGCCCAACATCCAGCGGCTGGACTGACCTCTCCCCAGCAGCCTGCCCACCAGCTGTGCCTCGCGTCTGTCCCCAGACTGCTGACCCGGCCACCTGCTCTCCTTCTCCCACAGGGACACCTTCAGAGCCATGTTCAGGGGCTCCTCCGCCCTCCCTCAGCTGCCAGTGCCATAGCCTTGTCCCCTGCTGCCCAGTCTGAGCCAGACTCTCTCGCCGTGCCTATTTCTGGTCTCCCCAGACTCTCATCCCCCTGCCTAGAACAACAGCCTTGTTCCTTGTTTTCTGGGCTGAACCACTCCTCCCTCTCTGCACCACTGTCTACTGGTCTGGGGGCCCAAGTTCCTTGGTCATGACTACATGGCCCGATTTACCACATGTTGGATCTGCCAGACCTTGAGGCACTCCAGGGAGGGCTGACGCTCTCCCCACTGCAGGAAGCGCTAGAGCCCCTGCTAGGCCTGCCCAACAGGCCCAACAATGGCTGCTGCTGATGTATAAATACACTTCATCGGCCACCACACGGCTAAGTGAAGTGCGGGTCCCAGTGTGTGTTCCTGTTAAAGGTTCTGTGGAAAATGGCCTGCCACAAAACCCTTGACTAGGACTGAGAGTCGCTCATTTAACCCCTCTACCCCACCCCAAGCTCTAGGAGATTCCACAGTTAACTGCATTTCCAAGAAGGAGCTTGGAGTCTCACCCGGAACTTCTGATTGATGGGGTAAATGACCTTGGCCTTCAGCGCAAATGCTGCGACGTTGCTGTTGAAAGAAGGCTCACGTTCCTGGGAAGGAGAGGGGATGAATGGCACGGAGGCTTTCAGTAAAGGGAAGGACACACGGCCCCAAGTTCCCAAAATGCCACACGCTAACACTAACAGTGGCTCCGAGGAGGGACCACAATAGGCCCATTTAGACCCGTGTAAGTGCTCACCTCCTGGAAGGACAGATGACTAGGTAGAGATGAACAACTGGACAGAAGGGCATGTGGACCGATGGGTGAACAGATGGTTAGGTGGGTGGTGGATGGACGGATGCACACAGATGGACAGATGAGTAGAGAGATGAACAAAATATGGATGGAAAGCAGGAGGGAAGGGTGGGTAGGTGGGTGGGTGGTGGAGGTGTGAGTGGATACACTGACAAATTCTTGGACAAATAAATGGTATCATTTAATTCTGATTTAACTTCAACTTTGGAAGTAAGAGGGATTTTTAATAACTTGATACCAACTAACAAGAGTCTTTTAAAGAATTATGAGCCATCTTTAAATGGAAAAAGTGAACACATGAAATAATTTTAAGACAGCAAGAGTTAGTCCTAGAGTTCTGGAGCACAGTAGTTAACCTCTGCCTACAGCAATTTATGATGTATTTCAAGACAACTGGTGCAGCAGTTTGAAGTCCTAGCATGTCAAAATGATACATTTCGAGGAGATGGAAATGCTAATTGGCCTCATTTGATCACTAGAGATAGCAAATTATCATATGGTACCCCGTAAATACGCACAGTGATTAACTACACTTAATTTTTTTTTTTTTACTCTGGTAGTGGGGATCGAACTCAGGACCTTGTATTTGCCAGGCAGATGCGGCACCACTGAGCGACATTCCCAGTCCATGTACTCTTTTAATTAAATTTAGCATTGTTAGGGTATAAACACATGGGGCAACATGCACACAAGATTCTGGATGATAACTTTAAACAAAAAAGAAGTGGCCGGGCAAGTCTTTGAACTTCTTGCAGCCTCTGTCTTCGCCTCCTCTGAGAAGCCTCCTCGATTCCAGCAGGACGGACTCCCCACAGCCCCAGCACCTCTCTTCCCCACAGGCTCACACCCTGCAGGTCCCCAAATCCCTGCTTGGGAACCAGCCAGCTGAGGAGGAGTGGAGGCAGCGAGCAGACTCCTCAGACAGCTGCAGGCCTAGCTTTCTGGCCTTGCCCTGAAGGGAGAGCCGAAGAGAATGCAACCAGTCTCCAGCTGCCACATCCACCCTGGCCCAGACACCCACCTCAGGGACACAGAGGTTCATCTGTGGCTCACTCTGGGCTGCTGACACAGGAGCCGAGGAGCCACAATGCACCCTGGATACAAAACGTGACCCAAGCTTCGGCAAATGTTTAAATAAAGCGACAGTGTCACAATGCATTGCCACGAATCCCCCTCAAACCCCTCCTGCAGAGGTGAAAAGAAATGAGAGGAGGAAAGGGTAAAAGACAGGAGGAAAGCCCGGCCTCTACCTTCCTGTAGCTCATCTTCTAAAGGAGAGGTGCAAAACAGGTACTGCACTTAGGGTGAAAAACATAAAGAAAAAGAGTTGGGGCCGGGCCAGCTGGGCCCTGTGCAGCAGCACCCTGGGATGGGAGCCGGGACAGCAGCCTAGCTCGGTAGGGCACTGGCACTGCCCAGCCGGTGGTGGCTTCATCCTGTGCACATGTGAATTCTCCGTCCCCCTCACTGCAGCCTGCAGTGCCCTGGAGGGCAGGGCTTGAAGAACGTCACAGCCTTGGCAGGGGAAGGAAGGGGCCAGGAGCCCTTGGCACAAGGGAACGAGAACTGGACAGGGGTCTGCTACCCAACGGGACAAAAGGACTTCAGTTTTTCAAAGCTGTCGTATAAAGTTCAGGTGTTCTCCAAATTCCCAACCTCCCCTGCTGAGAAAACACAATTACTCAGAAAACTGGTTGTAGAGCAAATTTGCAGTTCATCTGAAGCAATGCAATTATGTGGAAAACTGGTTAGAGCATAATTGTAGGAGAAAAGCCATTTCGCTCCCGACATAAGGTGTTGTTTGCAGTGCACGCGTAAGCGCACCCCCCACGGTGGCTCGGTCCCCTCTCCCTCCTTCCACAGCAGAGGTGGGATGAATAGCCGGGCTGTGGGTAGAAGGCTCAGAGCTCACGGGTTTCCCTGGGCTATGAGCTTTCGCTCACAGGAGCTACTCATTAAACAGGTCACGCGAGCAGTGGGGGAGGTTGGCTGCGAATTAGCATGCAGGTGAGCGCCTCCAGAACAGCCCTGTCACATCAGAATCTGCAGCAGGGGGCGCTCTGTCCAGCCAGACAGCTCAACCAGGGGACGCTAACTTAACTCTGGACAATGATTAGCCCGGTAATGGGCCTCTGCTGGGCATAGCTGAATAGTTAGCAAGTAAAACATTAATTACCAGGCAGGAAAAATACAAGTTAACCATCCAGGGGGTAGGAAGACCTGTCCCTGCCCTGCAAACACTGGGGGGACCACATTAGAAAACCCTAGGGATGCACTGAAGAAATCACTGTGACCTCATTGTAAAAGCGAGATGTCTGAGGCCCAGGCAGTGAAGTTTCTTACCCAATATCACATAGTAGCAGAGCCGGGATGGCGTTTAGTGCTGGGTCCCAAAGCCAGGGCTGTTTCTAGCCCACGTGAAGCTTCTTAGATGTGAGTAGGGTTGTTTCTTATTTTTCTTATAACAGTTATATCAAGATAGAATCTGTACATCTGCACTGTACAATTCACCCATGTGCAGTATATAATTTGACAGTTTTCAGTATCTTTCCAGACAGATGTGACTGTCACCATGGCCATTTCCAGAACTATCCACAGAATCAAAGAGAAACCTTGTAGCAATCACCCCACCTTTCCCTTCCTTGATCCTGGGCCTGGAAATCACTGTCTCCTTTCCCTACAGTTCTGGACATTTCCTGTGAATGGAAATTTGCCAATGGCGGCCTTTTGTGATCGCTGCTTCACTTAGCATAACATTTGGGTCTCCTTTCTGTAGGCAGGGTTTTAGTAGTATGACAGAAGGGTGAGGGAGACAGAAAGACAGACAGACACCACCACGCATCAGGACTCACACCCTGTCACAAGGGGTGCCGAAGTCCCCAGGCCCTAGAGATCCATGTGGAGTCAGGGACCCAGGGCTGCACAGAAAGAGAGACACAAAGATGGAGATGGAGCAGGAGCAGGGGTGCACAGCACTGTGAGGAGTGGCAGCCCAGGCACAGAGAGCTTGCTCTCCATCTCCATGACCTCCAGCTCAGCCCGGGGCAGGCCTCCTTTCCACAGCGTCCACAGGGTCCCGTCACCATGATGAGGACAACCCTGGGAAGCACAGGCGGGTGCCTGAGCGTCACCAGCAGCTGAGCCCGATTTCTGACCTCCTATGAGGTTCCTCTCTCCCTGGCCCCCTCTCTGCCGTCATCAGTGGGACTGCAGAACAAGATGACCGTGATTCTAAGTGACAGCGGCAGATGCACGGGGACAGACGGAGCCAGGAACAAGTCTCAGCTGGCCACTCCCCAGCTGTGGGATGGGGAAAGCACTTATCTCCCGAGCCTCAGTTTCCTCATTTGGAAAATAAGGACAAGAAGAACCGCATGAGATAAACCGTAGGGGTGTTTACATCACTCATCAAGGAGAAAGGAACAACCACGTGGTGTCAGCAGACATTAAAAATGCCACTTCCCCTTTCCTTTCCTAGAAGACAAATCTGCAATGCTTTCCAGAGAACCAGGGAGAGAGCAGAAATGTCTCATTCTCCCCAGGGTGATGTTCTAGGGGTGCAAGTTAGGCTTTGTGTGGACCCTGGAGGGAACGAGGGGACTCTGCCTGGAGTTTAACATCCTGTCCGGGGCGCAGCACTTCTTCCCAAGATATTTACTTGGAAGAAATAAGTGAAAAGAGACTTATATGTTCTTGGCAGCCTTGCCCATAAGGGCCAAATATAGTGAACAATTCCATCCGTCAACTAAACGCCCACCAAGCGGTGGGTGAGAAACCACACAACCAACCATCACTGAGCAATAGAGAGGGACCAGTTACAGACTTCAAAACAAGGCAGGAGGCGCACTGTTAAATCACAGCCAGGGTTGCCCCTACAAGTGTGCACGGCAGGAGGCGACCAGTAGGGGGCACTAGGGAGCTTTCAGGGTTGATGAAAACTTTCTCCATGGGGGCATTGGTACCCAGGATACAGACATTTGTTAAAACTCATCAAACTTTGAACTGAAAATCTGTGCATCTTATTGTATGTAAATGATGTCTCAAAGAGGAAATGCAATGGGAAAATATACCTGTCAGAGATAGTGGCATGATAGAAGGCAGGCCACTTGACACCCAGGGTGCACCTAGGCAAACTGATAAGACAGGAAGCTCACCTCCACAGCCTCCCCATCCTGGGGCACCTGCGTTTCTCTCTTCCTCCTCCTTGACGATGGGGAGCCAGCTTCTGAGGGGCTCTGTGCATTGGGCTCCAAGTTCTTGAGGAGACATTGAGTGTCGTCTTTCTAAACCCCAGGGTGATGGATAGAAATATTATACTACAGTTAACCAGACCAGGTTGTCCTGCCCTGGGCTTTAGCCAACCCAGTCCTCCACTTAGCAGTTATTTCTACTCACCTCTGTGTGCCCTGCAGTCTGACCCAGGCTTTGAGACTGCCTACGTCACTTTCCCTAGAAGTCCCCATGGTCCCCCAGAACACTCATCTGTGTACCCCAGGATAAGAAGGCCAGAGCCTCCCATCTGAGGGATCCCTCAGGACCCAGTGGCCAGACTTGGAGCCAAGCACCTACCATTTCTCTTCTCCCTTGGTTGTGGCCCCCAATGGACCATGAGCTCCTTGAAGGCATCTGTTTTGCATAGAAATTGGCAGATAAGTTTTAATTTCCCTGCTGTTTTCAACAATGCCACTGAATGTGTTACAAGAAAAGATGTGAAGTTACCTTAAATTACAGAGCTGTTTCTATCATGAACCTCGATTGTGTAGATTTTGTATTTGCAAATTCACGTACTTGCTGAAATGTATCGGTAACCAAGGGACGGGGTGCCCGAGGGGCTGTTGCAGCCAGATACAGACACATGCAAGGTATGGAAACACAGAAGTTGCTGACTTGTAGCTCAGTTGAGGGCAAACATGGCCTGGTCCTCCCCTCTTGTCCTTCTCGATATTCTGTAAACAAATGTCTTTCCTGTAGCCTAATGAATGTGCCACTTGTTTTGCAGTTTTATGTGTTTTGTAAGTGCTTTTTCTGTTTAATGCTGTCCCCAGCTCCACAGCTAAAGTGCTGTACAGTGCCCAAGGGTGCTGGAGGGTATGATGAGCTCAACAGTGATGAGGAGCTCAATGGAAACGATGAACTCAATGGAGATGATGAGCTCATTCAGGCCAAGTTCACTGCCACTGGCTGTGAGCATGATGGTGGTCATCAGCAACATGTATTAAATGAGGGTCTTTAAACAGAAACACTATCCTGAAAGGTGAGTTAGTAAGAATGTTGCAAGCAGAATCTGAAAGGATCTAACTAGGTATTTCCCCTAGGGACAAAAGTTCTGCATTCACCAATTTAGTGATCTTAGTGACTGATGACATTAAGTATCATAAATAGTGATAATGGACTGTATTTAGAATTCTGTTATGGCAGAGACACTTGTATCTCCTTCTTTGGTGACCAGTTGCTTAAAGATACACATTTTGCATCAAAGCAGCATCACCAGTTTGTTATTGAATTTGTCAGCAACTAGCACTGAGCATCCAGTAAGCACCAAGCCTTGTTCCAGGTCTTGAGTATGGTTATGAATATACAAAGCCCCTGCCTTCCAGAAGCTGACATTCCAGGGAGAGAAGAAAGACACAGACAAACAAATACACAGCCTGGTGGGGATGATGAGTGCTACAGAGAAATATATGGAGGGTGGGAGGATGGAGAACAACTGAAGGGAAGCCTCTTACACCAGGTAGTGTTTAAAAACAAGATATAAGGGAGCGAGACCTCGAGATGCCCAGAGAAGAGCATTCTAGGAAGAGGGGCCAGCAGGTGCAAGAGCCTGGGACAGGCACAGGCCCAGCCCATCTGGGGAAGTCTATGTGTCTGGAGCACTGTTGTGTGGATCTTGGGGTTGAGAAGGTAGATATGGCCAGAGATTCGGGGTTTGTTTGTTTAGCAACTGTAGCTGAACAGTACAAGAGTTCTGTAAGGAAGGACTAGATAAGAACATCCTGTAAAAGAGACCCTAGAAGAAAACTCCTCTGACCCCACAGGAGAACCCATTTTTAGAGATCTCCTTAAAAGTGATCAGGTGGCAGTTTCCAGCCACCTGAAAACAGACTCTTATCTGAAGAGCAGAATCCAAAATAAGCAAAAGGAAAAAGCAAGCGTGAATCTTACACTGCACAGGGAAAAGAAAAAATAACACATAACAAAGATAACACCCTCAGAGAGATGAAAGAATATATCCCACAAAATAAGAATGGCATAGTATAAACAGAGGATTCTGAAAGTAAATGAAGAGCTCAAACATTAAAATTATGTAATGGATAAAGACACTGATATTTATATAAAATGGAATACTACTTTGCCATAACGAAGGGTAAATTTGAACCACTTGTAGGAAAATGTGTGCCTTGAGAACATAATGTTAAATGAAATAAAGCAGACACACAGCTTAAATGTTGCATGGTTTCTCTTATATGAGAAACTTATACGAGAAACTCAAAGAATAAATAAAGAACTAACTAAAAGATAGATAAGAGGAAACAGGGAGATAGATCTTTTGCACGGGAGAGGACCAAGAGATGGAGGGAGGGGAGAAAAAAGGGATATAAATAGAATTAAGATGTGTCATGCACATGTACCAATTTCCCATGATGACTGTGATCATTATGTAGTGCAAACACATACTAATAAAAATAAAATTATGGAAAAGCTCAATTACAAAGATGAAGGAAAGCCTGCTAGAAAGTAGTATTTTGAAAAAAAAAAATAAAGAGGTGGCTTATTTGAAAGAATAATGTATATGTCTAATTTAACCTAAGTGCAGTTAGGGATTCTTCAAAGAAGAAAATATGTAAGAGGAAAAGAATCTTCAAAGAAGCCAAAAAATAATCACAAAAACAAAACAAAAAGAAAAACAAGTTTCTAGAATGCAAGATGCTGCCAAATGCCCAACTCATGGGATGACAACAGACTTTCACCAAAGTCCATCCTGATGCAATTTCATATACTGGGGCAAAGAATAGATTCTTTAAGATTCTGTAGATGCACAAAAGAAAAAGAAGTTTCATGCAGAGTACCAAGAATCAAAACAGAATTAAATTCCTCAACACTAACAATGGAAGTTAGAAGAAAATGCCTTCAAACTTTAGGTGGAAAATGGAATTTCTCACCTAACGAAAACAAGTTAAGTATAAAGATAGAAGAATGGAGATATTTTCAGACATTAAAGTTTTCAAAAGAGTTGCATTCATCCCCTGCTCAGAAAGATACTGCAGGATGTGCTCCAACCACACAAGGCCATTACTGAAAGAAGACAAATGCTAGGGATCCATGAAACAGGAGCCAATTAGGAAAGGAGAGGAAGAAGCCTCAGTATGGTATCCTGGAGGGGTCTTAGTGGTGACAGGGATGGCCGGGAGAAGTTTGCTCCTCAAAATCTAAGAAGGAATTCATGGGAGGGCTTGTTAATCACAGCTTGCCGTTTATATGGGTGAGGTCCACAGCCTTGAATTCCCATGTTGTTTTTGCTAGTCTGCTTCTCTGTTGAGAGAACAGCCCATTCCAAAGGGGCCATGTCAGACAATTTCTGGGAGAAATATATTTAAGAAATATATTTAAGAAGACAAAACTGATAAAATACCTTATGAGTTCAAATGTCTTGAAAAGAAATGTGCACGAGTGAGAGACAGTTTAAGTGTTAAACGAAGGTTAAGATTGTAGGATCTGAGCAAATAAAAAATCTGGTAACTATTAATTTCAGGGAAAGTAAATGTACAGAAAATGAAGGCAATCAGTCACAATCACATCAGGTTCCTGAGTTATAGCGAGCAATGTTTACAGAATCATGATAATGGAAACAGTGAGCCCGGATTTAACCTAAATTATCTTCTAAGCACAGAGCAGTATTGGGAATGGATGTGCTCAAGAAGGAGGGAAGAGGCAAAGTTCTACAGCTTTCCTGCTTGGGAGTCCATGGCTACTGCCTAAAGCTAAAAATGCAAACAGCAGCAATGTGGTTGAGCTGGAGATGGGGAGCAATTTAACAAAAGAGCCAGCTGACAGAGTTGCACACACTGGCTTGAGAGAAGTGGGAATGAGCTGGCAAAATAACACTTCATATACATGGGTAACTTTAACGCAAACTAAGAAGTTGTAACAATCAAAAAAAAAAAGAGGGCCGGGCATTTAGCTCAGTGGTTCCACTGCCTGCCTTGAAAGTGCAAGGACCCAAGTTCGATCCCTGGTACAAACAAGTAAACAACAACAACAACAACAAAACAAAAGAAAGAAGAAAAGGAAAATGGTACGAGATAAAATTATGAGCTGTGGGACTTGGATCAGAAAAGAACAGGATTGCCAGGAAGCAGGAGGAAGCATTCCATTCCGGAAGCCCTGACCAGCAAGGTGGCCCCAAGGGGACCTTCTCTCTGGGTCCTGAGACTGAGCAGGAACATAGGTGGAAGGGAATTTGTGCAGAAGTGTAGAGGAGGTACCCAGGGAACAGTGATTCTTGTGGAGTGGGCACCCAGGCTCCTGTGTGCGAGGCTGGGTGTCTGGAGAAGGCAAGGCAGGCCATCCAGTGCTCCAGGCCATCGTCTTTGCAGGCAGCCAGGCATACTGGGAGCTCTTACAGCAGGAGAGCCACCGTGTCGGACGTGCCGTTTCGAAACACAGACTGGAGTGGAGACGGGAGGAAAAGGGCTCCCACTAGAAAGGAGGTGGTTTCAGAGGTCACCAAGAAAGCCTGTCACCCCACCACCAAACCAGAGCCCCCGCCACAGCTACCACCCTGGTCTGAGCCACTGTCACCCAGACAGCGCAGTTACATGTGAGGCTCAGCTCCCACACGGAACACAAATTGCCACCGAGCAGGTGGCAGATGGTGGCAGCTCTGGCTCGAGGCTCAGGCAGGCAGAAGTTGAAATCCAGCCCCGACTTTGGTTCATCACAGGATCCTGGAGAAATAACCTGCAGATCCCAACCTCTTGGCGGTAAACTGAGACAACAGCTCCCACTTCGTGGGCATGGAGTGAGGCTAGAAGACTAGATGCCCGGAAACCGTGCCCTGGCCCTACTTCAGTGTCCTCCTTAGCAGCCCTTGGCTGTAGCACAGTGCTTCCCAGGGAAAGAGACTGTCTCCTTTACAGGAGGGTCGGGAATCTGGGGTCCGTAAGACAGTGTCACCTGGTCTCCGATCCTACCAAGGGCCGCAAGTATTTAAAATAGTCACCTACGCCTTACCCACCACTGAGTGGTCACCTGCTGTGGACCAGCCACCTCCACAGGAGTCCCCCCGCGGGACCATGGTCATAGGAAGCATCTGTAAATCCCCAGGCCCTTGAGCCTCACCATACAGAGTACAGGGGCTCTGATTAGACCCATGCTGTCATCTTGGCAGGCTGCCTAACCTCTCTTTGTCTCAGCTTTCTTATCTGCAAAATGAAATCATCCATGGAGCCCACTTAGAGCTGCTGAGATGATTCAGGCAGAAGTTCTAGCTCTGTCAGCACTCAGTAATGCTGGCCTTACTATTTCTCCGTCGTGGAAATCATAGTGTGGTGTTATAACCACTGCTGACTGTGTCTGCCTCCTTCTCCAGGCCGTGGGCCTCAAACTGGCAAGAGCAGGGTCACTGCTGCTCACCCAGGGGACATCCGGGCCGCTGGTGGCAGACACTCAGCACGCTGTTGTTGCAGGGATGAGCGAAGGGAAGAACCCGGCCAGCGAACTGGGGGGACTCAAGAGAAGCCATGGAACAACGAGGCGCAGAAGCGGGAGTGGGTGACCAGGGCCGCACCACAGCCCTCCTCTGTCCGCCCGGGGCCGCCAGCATCTCGTCCATACCTCCCTCTACCAATGTGGAGATCGAGACCCGGATGGGCTTAGGGGCTTAAGATCACACCACCGGGCAGGATGCCGCAGTCTCTTCGGCAGGGACCCAGGCCCAAACCTTTTAGTCACTTAGTTGCCTCTTTCTGAAATCCACCCCCGGCCCCCCAACAGAAGGGGAGCCTGAGGCCGGGAGGGTCGCGCTCTAGGCGG